AACCTTTCAGGCAAAAAACTAAGTAGAATTGTACAAGAAACAAACGCAGGAAATGAGATTACAAATGATAACAACAATGAAATATATAAAATCACACAAGATGAAAATGGTCACGAAAGCTCGCGCACGCCAACCACGACGAGCATCAATCGAAACTGAAACTGTACATGGAAAATGTACTGTGCATGAAAATTCCTCAACGACGCAAAGTACCTGTCACTGAAAACAAAAATGAAAAATGCAACTTATGCAATGTATCCTACAGGCTACTGCTAAGGCAGTGGTACCACATGTCGAAAAAAAACAAACGAAACTGTAGTGTACAAGTCGTGTCGTAGCTACTCTGCGAACACCCTACTAGTCCAACGCTACTCTACAAACACCATACTGGTACCAAAATCATACATACCGAAAACAAAGGAAACATCATCTAATACATCTGTAGCACACTGCACGCACACAACCATTGAGAGCCGAACATCACTAAAACAAGACGAGACAACCAAAAAAACTAGGACCGCACAACATGATGAACCGCAGTGCGAGCAGGGGAAAAAGGAGTGTTGGCCTCATCAATCAACGACGCTTCTTCCCCTTCCCGCTTTGTCTCCTCGTACCCCCTCGCATGCCGGATGTCAAACTCCTCCTCCCTCGTGCTGATGAAGAAGTCTGCGCAGCGCGCCGTCTGGCTGCACGCGTCGGTGGGGGAGGTGGGGGCTCGTGCTCGTCGCCGTCGTAGTCACCATCGGAACTTTTCTCGCTCTCCTCCTCTCCCTCCTCCTAGCCCTCATAGTCCTCGTCCTCCTCCCGCACTGCCACATCTGTCTCAGAATCCTCCTCCTCGATGGTGACAGGGGCTCCTGCCTTCCTCAATACAACAACCCTCGCACTAGCCTCTGCAACCGTCTGCTCACGACGCGATCCACGAGGCATCCCCAACCCCTTTGCCCCCGAAGTCTCTCCAAGTGCATCTCCTCCCTGTGCGGGAACGGGGCGTGGACGAGGAGACACTCTGCGCTTGCGTGGAGTCTGCTAAAGTACGGCACGCGTCGCTTCTCTCAGAGTGTGCTCCAAGCTATCGGCGGACACTCCTCTGCCGCGACCTCGCTGAGGCTCACAACGTGATGCTGCCACCTCCCTCGCTGCGCTCATCCTGCTGCTACGGGGTCCTAAACCCGGCTGTAGATGTGCAGTGTGCTCCGTGACACGGCGGGTGGAATCCAAATCTATGTYTGTCCTCCYGMACAACGCTGTGTCACTCACGTCCCCCACATCGGTTGTACTGTCCCGAATCCTAGACCTCCCAGGCGTGTGTGGAGATCGAGAGCCTCTACCTGTGGGCGACGATGACGGATCACCTACAGGTGGTCTAGGAGGAGGGGGTGGCATGTCTCGTGTACGTGGCGCCGTCTCCACGACGCCACATGAAACCCCTGGAACATCTCCCGC